GGGCTGGAACCCGGAGTAGAGGGCGGGCCCGGGTTCCCCCCAAACCTCCCAATTGACCTGGACTGTGGGTTCTTCCAGAGGGGAAGGTCTCTGGGCTGTTCCCCCAACCCACATGGTGAATCTCTAAGGCAAGAAAATCCGCCAATAAGCGCAGACCCACCAAAATAGAGGAGGAACTTTGTCACAATACATACATTTAAGGAAACTGTGGTATTTCCTTAAAGCAATTAAATGGGACAGAATTAACATGAAGTTGGGTAAGCTGCATTCATCAGAGTTAGGGTGACCAGATGTCCCATTTTTAAAGGGACAGTCCCATTTTTTGGAACTTTTTCTTATATAGGCGCCTATTACCCTTGCCGCTGCCCCCCCCCAACTCCCTGTCCTGTTTTTTCAGTTGCTATCTGGTCACCCTAATCATAGTGAAAGTTGTGAAGACTACAGGAAGTATATATCTGAATTGGAAAAAATAGCATTTTTTGTCTCTCACTCAGAAAAAGAGCAGCACCCTAGCTTTCTCATGGTGTTTTTATTAATGCTTCAGATTAACAGTAGGACACTATAGACAGCATATTAATATGCACCTTGATGCATTTTATACTTAATATGGGTCCAAGATATTGTTATAAATAAGTCACTTCCCTGTCCTTTTTGTCTTCATGCCATTACATCCGCTTGAATTGATATCATTTATTTTTATCAATGATCTAACTGAGAAACATGCTGCATCTCCCTGCCACTGTCAGTCTACCTACCACTTCAGTTTTTCACCTAGATGGACTTCCATTTACATGGTGGAATCTGGAGGATTTTGTCAATCCTCTCCCCTTTCATCTTTAAATAAATATGAATTCATGAGCTCCCATGTCTCATCTACAATGTTTCTGGCCAAAGAAGCTCAAACAGGACTCTCTTCAGGGGACATTAATGGCATTTCTCATTTTGCCCAAGGAGACTTTTTAGAAATGTGAGGTTCAACATCACCTGAAAGATAAGATATTCTATCAGTGCAGAACACTATCATTAGGCCACATTAGGCTTTGTTCTCATTGTCAATTTTGACAGAATTTTTCCATTTTCTGAATGGAAAATTCAAAATGAAAAAAATGTTAGAATCATTTCAGAACAAAACAAATTCCTTCATTTCAACATTTTGAAACAATTTAATGTCAACGTATTATTTTCAAAGTAAATGAAATTACACTTCTATTTAGAAAAAGCCCATTGGAATATCCAATTTTTTTAGTCTAAAAACTTTGTGGGAAACTTTTTTCCAGCCAGCTCTATTATAAGTACATCTATAGAAGGTGTTATAAATGGTTAGGAGCCATGGCTATAAGGAAGCTTACAATAGATTAACCATTTATTAAAAACATCTATTAATCATTTATTAATTTTTTATTAAATATTTATGAATGGAGCCTTAATATAAAGTGTAACCAATATTATTCTGTTATGTTTCTGAGCCTGAGGCTTTGTATGTACCTGTTTTCTTTACACATGGAGAGGGTACAGACCAACCCTTCTAACAGCTTTGGTGTTACCAGTACAGTATGTTGACATTGAGCCAAGGGCTACATCTCCATACATGGCAGCAAGGGGGAAGTAGATTTCTGTTTGGGATGACTTTGTGTAGGAGCAAGTTATACAATGTTGTACAATGTTTACAGACAAAACAAGCTTCCAGAGAATACAGACAAACTTTTTAAGTCACTGAAATCTGAAACTTACCTGCAAACTTGATGTGGAATTTATTTTCAGGTTTTAATATTTGGACATATAAAGGACATTTTGGAGCAAAGTCTTTAACTGCCCAGGCTCTTAAAATGGTTTGATGATCCTAGAATAAAATAGGAAATACAATGTGATGACAATGGAATTCAAGTAATCCTTTTGTTAAATCAAACGTAAAAAAGCCCTACTAGCTGCTGAGCAATCTGATGACTCCATTTCCGATAGGTCACTTTCAAATAATATAACACTAGCTGATTGTATACATTTATGTATTTTATAGTGCTATACTGTATGGTGGGGTCATGTATGCTGCCAGGTTGCCATTTAGATTTGTACAGAAATCTAATCTATGTAATCATTTATATGGCCCCCATCATTGTAGCATCTGGAATAAAAAGCCATTAATGAAGATGACAGCACAGGAAAAATAAACAGATCACTTATAAACATGGAATTTTTTTAAAAAGTCCACATTTATGCTAAATGTTAATGGTCCTTTATAATATAAGTAAAAGTCCATGCTCATCTGTTTCCTTATACAGAGGTGAGCCTCTGCCTGTGGACTGGAGTTTTGAAGGGCATGAAAGAGGGCATGCTGTCTCCATGCCAAGTTTTCCTCCCTTAACTAAGCCCTATGGAAGCTATTCTATGTTGCTTGTGCAGAGTGGGAAGGGAAGCAGGAAGCAGCCTTACTCCCCCATGTTCTCCTTCCTCTTGCACCTGCAAAGCAAGACAGTCTGCAGTCACTTGCACAATTTCTCCCTTGCAACCCCAAGTTGTTGACTGGCTACTTTTACTTGATGAATACAGGTATTGTTCTTTGTTGTTTTATATCTGTGTCCTTCAATTATACTTACTGCATCATACTTAGCTCAAAGGAGAAGTGTATACAAATAAAATGTCCTTAAGTGCCATTGTAAGGAATATGATGATACTAATTGATTTTAAAAAGTTATTTAATATGCGGCCCTAGATTTTAAATACATCCGGAGATCCTAGTAGCACTTGATGGTAATTTTGCATTTTTGATTTAACTCGGAAATAGGTAGATTATTCTTTCCACAGCACACCCAAGCTTAATGTTGCTTCTTACAATTTTGGAAAATATACCCAAAGGTAAAAATCCGCCATTACCCAGGAAATAATGAAATCTTATTTCTTATTGGGGGTCTGTTTCCAGTAATCTCTGAAAAAAATCCAAATTTAACTCATTTTTACCAAAGATGTACGTATTGAAACACAGTTTCCTGTCAGTTCCACATCACAGAAAACTAAGAAATGTGGTGGGGTTGGGTTTTTGGTTTGGTTTGTGTGAAACAACTCTGTTTTAGCAAGATAGTTAAGTTAAATGATTTTCACACACTAACTGAATGATCAAGCACATCATAATACTCCTGTTTCTGAAACCATACCATTTTACTGAGTCCCAGCATTTGAATGAGATGATAAGGTATGGAGTTAACCATGTTAAATCCCAAGGTTTATGAGCCACAACAGACCTAATTTGTCACTTTTTTGAGAAACTATAAAAATTTGTAGATATAATGGTAGAGTTTAATTATAGACCAAGAATGCCAGTAAATTTCCAAGACATCTATTATATTTTCCATACTTTAAGAATGAATTGCTGTCAGCAAGAATTCTTTCATTATTGCACATCATGAAATAAGTATTAATAGATTCATATATTCAATTTCATGAAATATTGTTAAATTCCACACATTTAGCCTTAGAGGAACATATCAATTTTCATTTATTTCCGAACAAAAAATAACAGAGAGCAGAGCACAGGAACCAATTCTGTGGCCATGCCTAGTCACGAAATTGGTGCTATTAGAAGAGAGAATGAAAAGAATGATTCATTACATTTGCAATGTCATCAGCAAGAAAAGCTTTCAGACTGGATCACAAGGGAAAATCTCTGCCTGAAATAGTGTGTAATTGATATCTTCAGACCACTCCACTGTAATGTCAATTGAGGCAGTACCACATATTCTTTCTGTGAAGTACTAGAATAACATGACAGACATTTTCAGGGAGGTAAGGTGGATTTGTTCATAAATTGTGTTTGTGTTGCGTTAACTCTCAATAAGATGTAAAGAAGACTGAGCTTCAAGAAACTGCATGTGGAGCTCCCTTTAAATGTCTAGCTTTAATGTGGTCTCAGAAGTTCCACCTCAGCACTATGCACTAAGCACTATGCTGTAAGCATTCCTTTTAGTTTGCAAAGACATCTAGCAGGCTCAATTAATTCCTTTTCCTATAGAAGGTGACTTTCCATGCCATGCATGATCCGCGTTCTTACTGTTTTGTCTCATTAATGAAATGATGCTCTAATCCACTGCAATGGTCACAGAAGGCCCTGAAAACAGCAAAATAGATGCTTGGACACAAAGAGATTATTTCACACCCTATCATATGTGTAAAGGTTTGGAGGTAGAGATGGGCCAGGGCTGGAAAATCTACGTAGCTGTAGATCCCCTAGCTAATCTTTTGTGGAGGGATAGAACAACAGTTGTAAGGGATAATGCAGCCTTCAGTCATTGCCCCTTTGATAGGAGGATTCCTTTCCCCACCACCTCTTGCATGGCAATATACACACAGCTTGTTTACTTAGGTTGTGTGTAGGGATGAGGATTTGCCTAAATCAATTTTAAACTGCTACTGATACATTAGATGCAAATTATTTTCCTTGCCCATGTTTAATATAATTAAATAAATGATGTAGATTAGATTTACTACAAAAAGTATTCCAGTTCTAATGCATCAGTGTTATTCTCATGAGTTAGATAAAATTTCCCATGATAGATGGAAAGCATACCAGCTAATGTTAACTTTTGTTATACACAGCAATCATATATATATATATATATATATATATTTTCTTCCAAAGACTATTCCAAATATTTTCTTTGCAGTTTTTATTTCCTTTGTTTTAATATTATTTCTTCGCAGTAGCTTAAAGCTGTCAGGAGCTATAGTGAGCAGAGGTTTTTTTGTTTGTTTTTTTTGTAGAAAACAAGAAATTTGTATTAAAGACAGACATTTTTAATAAAAAACACATTGTCCTAAATGTAAAACACCAATAGATTATTCATATAAAGAAAAGAGGCAAACCTTTAAAAGTTAAAATCCATTTCAGTTTTAACATTTGCAGAACATGTGTTGCCACACTTGTTATACCACTACATGCTGTAGCTCCTTTTTAAATATTCTCTTTGTGATCCTGACAGTACAGAGGTTCACCTTGAAAAATATTTATAAACTTACTTGTGCAATGCATTCAAGTATTCATTACAAGATCACCTCTATGCAAATGCATTAACTCAACCTGCCCTCATGGCACTCACTATCACATTGCTCTTGTTCTTGTTACACACACATGATTTGTGTCATTCAATTTGTTACTAGCGTGGGGAAACTTCCAAATGCAACTTGGACCGAGTCTAAAGGGGGCTAAGCTGGGGTAACATATGCCCCCAAGAAGCCTGCTTTAACTAACACATCTTTAAGCCCTCTTGTTAGTGCCCTTTAAACCCTTCCTGTTACTGTATTTGCTGCACATCTATTCTTTAATAAATGAGTAACACCTACTAATACACAGTATGTCAAAGTCAGAAGTGTTGTGTAAGGAGATATTGTCTGGTTAGTGGGTGTAAATCTAAGGTGGTTTTATAGACCTGCTGAGGGAGTTAAAAGAAGGTGTAAATTACACCAACCTGGACTCCTGCAATCTCATTTGTGAACTTCTAAATGCTTTGTATAGCCACATATTTTTGTACTAATACTTGACTGGAGAAGAGATTTGTACAATTTAATAAATAAATAAATAAATATCTAAATTTTTACAGTTGTTCAGAACAAAATTGTTTAGAATAAAGTTTGTTTTTATATGGCATTTTTTTATAGTCATGGTAACTAATATAATGAGTTAAGTGCTCATATAATAATTCAGTGACTGTAGGAAACCTGAAGAGTCCATTCAGTGATTACCACAGAGGGTAATCTGCTGCCACAGGGGAAAGAGTTAGACTCCAAAAGATGCTCTCCTCCATGTCACTTCTTGGCCTGAACAAATAGCATCCCTTACCAGAGAAGAGATAAGATAACTAATAGGGGGTCTGGAAAGTTGACAAATGCCTGCCCACACTACAGGAAGCTCCCACTTCTGCTAGGGAGTAAGAAAAGTGGCTTGTGGCCCCATTGAAGTCACCTGTTATCTTGCTGCTCTCCTCCTAAACTCTAGTGATGGACCATGGATCAGGCCCAACACAAATCCTGAATCTGCAATCCATGGACCTATTGAAGTAGCAGGCAATGGCAGCCTCTTGCCAGCCAACAGCAGTGATAACAAATGAGCAGAATCACTGACTAGTCAGAGCCAACACAAGCTTTGGGTTGAGGGGAGAGGAACCACTTTGGTCTGAGTTATGATGTGCATTTTGGTCAGGTGGCTGAAACAGGGACACTTACATTTTGTAGAGATGTCCAGTTTGATTGTATGCTTAAAATATTTGCATGTTCTTGAATGGATCTTTGACTATTGTGCAGGTGGAAACTTAGAGGCATGAGAGTAGCTAAGCAATGGCATTTCTACCAGTCCAGCGCACCACTCGAGTGTTGCAGTTTAAAATCAGCTTTGGAAATAAGATAAAGTGTCAGGGTGCACTCTGAAACCAAATCCTTTTGGCTCAGTAGCAAGCTATAACTATCTTAGCCATTCTTAAACAGTCAACTTATTGATGATGAAACAGGGAATTGGCATTGGTAGGTTCAAGCTTTCTCAAATTCAACCATAAAATATATCCTTTTTTGAGTTTTAAATTCCATTCTGATAGCTGAGACTCAGCTGCCTAATTTCTGTTCTTATATCCCCTCTGCATGCTTTATCCCGCACCCTCCCTCTTGTCCATCCTCCAACCAATGTTGCTCTGTTTTCCATAAAGGTAGGAAGGGCAAAGAAGTGTGCATGGAGGGGTTGGGAGTGGAAAAACTAAATCTTAGTGTATTTGAGGAGAAAAGAGAGCGAGACTCTATGGGCCATGCCCTTCATATAGACATTTACACCCATGCAAAACTGCTACCAGATCAGAATGGTGGTGACAATTTGCACAGTCACAAACATCTACAAAAGTTCCAGGTCAGTATAGAATCAGCCCACAGTCTACGATGGAAGAAAAATGTTGCCCTTAAGTGAACATTGGTCAAGAAAACTCTCTCTGATGGGGTGGGAAGAATAAAGGCAAGACTCCCATTGGGAGAGAGTCGTAGTTACTGAGTAGGACAGCCCAGTTTAAGGGCAGGAATTGAACTCAAGAGCAGGGCAAGTCTACTGAAGAACTATCTGAGTGTAGGACTAAGCAATACACATAGTGAGTACTCTACCACCAAAATGGGGAAGCGTTGGTATAAGCAGTGCCGCCACGACAAGGCCCTTCCCCTTAGGCACTGGTTATAGGGGGGAAAAAGTCTTTATAGCAATATGTAAAAAATTCAAGGTAACAGGAAAGGGGAACACAATTGATGCCCCTTCATCAGTGCTCAATGTGAAGGGAGACACTACATTGGCCATTAGCCACCAGTGTTAGCAGTGACCCACCCACGTTCCAACAAGGCATTCAGATCCCCGATAGCAAAAGGTAACAGGAACATTTCTTCAATAGTATTTGTCTTTTTGAATGCTGGCTTCTCTGAATATATTTATAAATCTGTGTGGTCAGCTATCTCTTCTGGGAGTGGCATAGCTAGTGCTGTAAGCACAGAATGGAGACTGTAGTAGAAAGTCTGCTTGGAGGGGTTCCAACACTCCAAGATGACTCTGCAGCCCCAAAGTCGCCAATGCTGGCTGGGATGGATGAAGGACTACATGCCCAGCATGTTCCCCTAGACAGCCTCGTTTGGAGTTCTGAATATAGTCTAAAGCTGTCCTTTCCTGGTAGGAACTTTGGGGAAGATAACACCTACACTGCTTTTCCTTCATCAAGGTGAATCTCTCCTGGAGTGTAGCTGCCCATATCGTTGCAGAAAGGTGCAAGTTACAAACTCCTGCACATGCAGGGGTGAATCAAACTCTCTATTTGCAAAGTTATTATTCTGGATCAGATGGTTAAATAATTTAGGATGTTTTGGTTACTAGTATGTTTTGGATTGCTATCAGTAGAAGGTACCATTAACAATTCAACAAGTATGAATTTACCCAGGTACTTGTAGTAACGGTAGCCTCTGCCTGGACTTAGAACAGGAGATGCCACAATATCTCAGTCACTCCAGCATGGCAAATTCTGAGTGCCTGCTCTCCTTGAAGCATACTATTTGATTGTCCTTCCAGTACCTTTTGCTGCTGTGTTCTCAAGATTTTGTAACTTATTACGAAGGCCCTTTTTGAAGGTATCAAATGTTAGATGATGACATCAGTTTTGGGAATGTCTTGGTAGGCACCTAGGTCCAGATGCTCACATTTGCACTGATGTCAATTCAGTCATGCCCATTTACACCAGCTGAGCATCTGGCCCTTTGTTTTGCTTTGAATTAACATAACTTTTTAAGCATATCAAACACCTTCTAAGGTGTCTTAGTACAAATGAATAATTACCCCACTAAAATCTGCAGCTAAGCGAGCATATATTCCACTCCAGGGGATCATCATTCTTTTCTGACCTACAGCTTTATTGGTTCCTTTATCCTTCCTTCCCTGGTGGTGCTGCTGCTCTGTTCCTGATAACATTGCCTGAAAAGTGACATGTTTAAGGTGGGGAGTAACTGGGATTGGAAGGCTGAGATAATGGTTATGATGATTGGATTATAGACTTATTTATTTATTTATTAAATATACTCTATAGCTTTATGCAAAACCTTAAAGGTTTCTGAGTTAAACATGAAGGATGGGAGAACACTTGGAAAATTCATCACCACCTTTTATTGCCTAGAATGAGCTCAGTAGCCTGAGAGGTAGATTATACAATATTACAATCTGGGTCAAGTCCAGCTAAATGTCTTAGATTTTACATCTAACTTAGTTTATCTAGGCATGTTTCTTTGTTTATACATCTCTATATAAAAAGGATTTTGTTAAAAAGGTGGGGAAGATAAGTTTAATTGAATTTACTGAAAATGATAACCATGTGCACTAGCAAATTACAAAAACTGGCTTGATTTCCTCTGGTAATACGTAAGATTCCTAATTTAACTCCACAAATGCTCAAACCTAAGTGAACCATCCTCTGCAGCCTGAGACCCTCTTGAGCAAAAACTACTAACTGTATTGTACTTTGGGATGGAGGTGTGGAGGAAGGTAGTAAGATGTGATCATAAAACTTACTTCCGTTAGTGGAGTCTTTTAAAGCAACAGGGCAGGACGCTACTCCAGTGCACTCTAGCTCTTATGGAAATGTTTTTAATTTTATCACAGATTTGTGGGAATCTGGATCTGTTTAAATTATCAATGGCCTCCCTTTGTGGATGTGTACTTCCCATTATTAACAATTGTTACGAGACAAATCATAATGAATGATTTATTCAAAGAACCCAGCCTCTTTTACTTGTGAATCGACCACATTTTGACATTTTGTCAAATTCAATAGTTATTAAAAATTAATCACATGATAGTTTACATACATAATTCTTGGTCTGTAGCTGTTTGGAAGCAGTTCACAGTGAGTATCTGATTTTTGAGTGGAAGCATAAGTAATATGATATGTCTCTTTCCTATTGACTTCAGTAAGATGTTCTGCATGATTTGAAGCTACTCTTGTGAATAAAGTTTTATTGTTTTTTTTTGGCCTATATAATTATAAAGAATCAGTATATTTCATAGTTCTTGTACTTTATATTACCCCTCTGACACAATTTTTTTTTTAAATCACAACAATGTATTTTGCACTGCATGAAAAATGAGTTTTATGTTTACATACCAAGATTTTAAAACTCTCTAATTTTCTTGAATAAATCTGACCTTACCTCTTGTTTGTAAAACTTTGCTTAGTGAGAAAGCAGTAATTTACATAAAATTGTATGTGAGACGTACTATTAAATCCTGTGTTATAAACGAGTGCAATCCTGTCTCCACTGAAATCTACTGCCATTGACTTTAAAGTGGCCAAGATTTCACCCTGTATGTCTAAGATGTATGTGTAAATTGGAGAATTATAACATTTATCCCTAGTTTTCTTAGACTCTAATCTCTTCGGGGGAGGGCATTCTTTTTGTTCCATGTTTGTCCAGCACCTATTACGATGAGGTCCTGCTCCCTAACTGGGGCTCCAATCTGCTGCGATAATACAAATAGTAGTTTACAAAGAATAAGGCCCCCACAATAATAAGCCCCCCGCTCCCCTCATCCTTATGTCAGATCCAGAAGGGTGGACACCTACTCCTGCACAGAGCTCCATAATAGTATTAACAGTGTGAAGAGCATACACATGATTCTTAGAAGTATTTCTAAAGAACTTACAGCTGCTGTCCTGTCCACCTCGCACCGGCTACTCAGAATGAAACAGGCCTCAGCATCGTCCATCCTAAAAGCAAACGGAGAAAGCAAAAACTATCAAATGTTATATATTTATATTTAAGCTACACATGTCATGTGTCTGACGAAGTGGGTATTCACCCACAAAAGCTTATGCTCCAATACGTCTGTTAGTCTATAAGGTGCCACAGGACTCTTCATCGCTTTTTAATCTCCTTCTATAGTGCATTTCCTCCACTTATCTCAAAGCACTTTAAAGAGGAGTGAAATAATATCTCCATTTTAAAGATGGGAAATCTGAAGCACAGAGAGATTAAATGATTTGCGTATGGTCACACACTGAATCAATGGCAAAACTGGGAAATTCAATGCAAGTCTCATGACTTGTTCCTCTATATAGTTTTGAGAGGCTAGAAATTTGGAACCTGAGTGTTTTTATATCAATGCAAAGCAAGGCCCCAGTTCCACAAGCACTTATTCATGTGTTTCAATTTTATTAACACAAGTAGTCTCGTCATTTTCCTGGATTTTACAATATGACATTACAGGATGCTTTCAATAGAATTACTCACATACACAAAGTTAAATATATACATAAGAGTTTGCTGGTCTGATCCCAAAAGTGAGAATTTAAAATCCCAGAACATTCCTAAATATTGTCTGTTTACATATCTGTACAAGTTGCATCATAAACTAGTTACATTTCTAGAGATGGTAAATAGTGGTTCTTCAGAAGAATAATGATGTGGGTGAGAATATATCAAATTAATTGCATTGTATTAGAATGTTTCCGTTTCTCATTGCAATGCAGTTACATAATGGCATTATTTTTTTCTAGGGCATCTTAAAATATAATCACGTTTTATATCTCATTATTGATGATGAAATGTTAAATAGGAAATACAATTAGATATTGACATTAGATTAACACAGGATTGCTGTCCATTAAAGACTGCTGCTCAATGGGCAAAATTCATCCTTGAACCTAGAGCCAGCACAAAACCTATGCCCCTCTTCAAATCCCATTTACCCCATTTACCTATTCAAAATAGGAATTCCAGGAGATTTAAGTGCTGTCCTTGTGCTGGCCCCTTGCAAATTAGCTAATTTCACCAAATGTGATAGAGGACATCTACAAATGTCATTCCTTTTTTTTTTTTAAATTGAAACCTGGACACATTGTAGTAAAGGATTGTCTGACCAGGTATATATATCCTTGTAGAACTGATTGAATTGTTTGTTATGAACAAATAATCTGACTAATGTCTGACTGTATTATATGAATGAACAATTTTCAGCCTATGGGCTGTTTGCAAACAATTCAGTATTTGCTACTGGCTATTCCTGGCATGTGACTGGTCATTTAAGTCACATGGTATTGTTTCTGCTCCATATGTGGGTCAATACAAGTTTGCAGATAGGATAATAATGAATAGCAAAGCTTGCATGAATCAAAGTATTTGCACTTTATTAATGCAGCAATTCCTCAAACATTGTTGTGACTAAAATCACATTTCAGTGAATGTTTTTGAATTTAAAAACGGCAGATGTGTAACTGAACAGCAGTGAAGACTATTGAGTGAAGGTTTGTTAGCAGGGTTTCTATAGTATTCAAGATGTTTCACTTCTAAGGTACATAATAACAAAATTTCATAGGCCACTCACATTTGAATTTCCATGTTGAATACAGAGATTTTTAGAATTATAGGCAGGACTGGTGGCATTGTGTATTATTATTTTTGTCTCATACTTTCCATTACAAAACCTCATTTTCAGTTGCTTACAACTTTGCAAAACATTAGCCATTGGGCTGAAATTTTCCATGCTGGGTGCCCACTTCCAGTGCATTCCCTTCCAGATCCTGTAAGATTACTAAGTCTCACCAGTTCTCTGCTGTCAGCAAATATCTGTGATACCCACTGGCAAAGTGTCTATCTTTCCCTTTCTAGTGCTGCTCTACATAGAGGAAGACAACTTACTATTGCTATCAGTTACTCCATTAGCTCAAATAGCAGAGGACCGTGTGGTGGATGTAAAGGTTCCAAGCCTGCTGATGAACCATGTGTGTGTTAATATGATGGCACATGATGAAATTTCTGAATTCTCAGTTGGCCTTTTTAAAAAACCTATGATATTACACACACACCAATGTTACTAAAACATTTTATTAAAGTTGCAAAGTCAAGCACTCAAAAGTTAGAAGATGACAGAATTAAAATGGCTTCAGACATAGTCTATTGAGGGCTGTTGTGCCAACCAGAATGACCATGGTTGATGGTGTTGCACGAGGCATCATGTAGTGAAGTTTCCACATCTGGCTTACTCCTGTGAATCCATGAATTTATGGGGCAGCTTCATGGGCACCCCAGGTAAGGTTAGGTTGTGTACCCCTTTGTGCATTGATGGACAGTCTGAGAGCATGGTGTGCTGGGGTGTTTTTGTCCATGCGAGTAACATGGTGGCAGAGCATGCAATGCTGTTTTTGAATATTACGAGTGTTTTGAAAGGAGGCCAGATCGCTGCCTATGAAACCTTAATTCATCCTCCCATGCCTATGCATTATGGTACAGTAAAAGTACATAATCATACACTGTTTTTCCAGAGGACCCCTGCCTTCCTCAGTGCACAGGATAGATTTGCTCTGGGGATGAATCAGGGTTGTGTAGTGAAGGAGGCTGTCTGTAGGATCCCTGCTTCGTTGATGAAGTTGGAAGCTGTGTACTGAATGAGGCAAGTGATTGAAGAAAATTAAAAACGAAGGTCTCATAATTAAGGCAGTTGAATGCTGTCCTGCAGAATTCGATTTGATACCTGCCTGTGTCATACAGTTCCCATATGATTCTGCGCAAGTCATTTTAATCAAAATTTTGGAAGGTGGTCACACTGTGTTCTTAATTTTCTGGGTGCCTAATTTGAGATCCTGGGGCCTGATTTGCAGAAGTTCTGAGCACTCATAACTGCCACTGCAATGGGTGCCATGCTTGAATGTTTAAAATTCTGTATAATTCTAAGAACTCTGAAAAATCAGATTCTAGGCAACTCAAATTGGGCACCCAAAATTAGTGACTACTTTTGACCTTAATCTCTCTCTTCCTCAGCTCCCCACTTGTACAATTGAGATGCCACCAGCGCCTCACATAACATGGGTTTTGCGAAGATAGATTAATGTTTGCAAAGCACTCACATAATATAGGATGAACACCAAAGAAAAGCCCATGAGGAAATAAATAATTCTGTCTTAAGAGCAGGGTTTGAATTTTCAATAGATAAGACATGGGGCCACTCATACAAAAAAATATGGAATATTTGCTCATAATTTACCACTGTCCATTCTGTGCACTGAATGAAACAGGCATCCCATGGAAATAATGGTTATGTAATCATGTAATTAAAGACTGTAACATCTTGCATAGGCAGGAGGAGACTGGATTATGGTTGAAAAGGCAACCTTAATTTTAGCATTCCCTGACATTTGAGTTCTTGGCTTTGTAACCTTAATTTCTTTTAACATAGTTTTTGTGTAATATGTATATAAATTTTGATAATGAGACAACCAGATTTTATTTTTATTAATAGTAAACAAACAACTACCTAATATTTTATTTACTAGAGAAATTTACCAAGCATCTGTTATTTTTCAGTATGTTGTTTTTCATAAAAAGAACTGAAATATAGCAACCTCTTAGTTACTGGGTTATATTTCATACTAAATGTTCTATTAAATTCCCACCATGCTGTTTCCCTTAGGACACGTTTAAAAAAAATCTTTAGGTACATTCAATTACATGTTTTGCAGAAAAAAGTACAATTCTACAATTGACTAGCTTCAGGTTATTAAGGTTATTATAGGCTAAATGCATGTGATTATGCTCAGAGAACAGCATTTTGATTCTTTTTCTCCTCCTAAGATGTAGAACAAATGCTAACTAAATCCCACTAGAGAATCTTTTCTCAAGAGCAGTGGGAAAGCAAAAAATGGCAACTTTTTTATATCTTCTTTTTTGGGGAGGAAGGGGGCACAATCATCTCTCTGACCTTTTATTTTTCTTCTTTTGAACATCCAATATTAGCTCTTTATTAGAGATAGAAATTTGAGAAGACATTCCTCTCAAGACTCCGAAGAAATGTGATGTCTGGCCTATAATCATCTATTAAATTCAGATCAAGTTTCAACTTAAAAAAAAAAGAGATGATTTGTTTCTAGGGTGGTATTATCAACCAGTTTCCAAATGCTTACATGGGTTAGGTATAACAACAAAGCATGAACATTCTGTAAATAGGAAGAAATGGAGATGGGATGCAATGAATACTCAATAGGCACTGATCTGTACTATGTGTCGTGATGTTTTGTTTGATTCGTGTGTGTGTGTGGGTGTCAGTTAACACTTCCTGGATGGGAAGAATAGCTGTATAGGTCTTGCTATAGAAGCTTGTTGTAAGAAAGGTGTTGGAGGAGGGCATGGAGGCATAGCAGACTCGTGTAAAAGGACACGGCTTCCACTTCCTATCTTCTTCTGCACATACAGACTACTTGGAGAATCTCTGCTTGTAAACACCACATGTGGTTTATTTACAATGTTCCCCTGGCACTTGACAGCATTGTGCAGCACTTTATATATAATAGCAGCTTCTTTTAGACCAAGGACAGAAGAGGAAGGAGATCTCTCCCTCAAAAGTCGCTCTTGGGACTTCTCTTGCCATCTCTCCCCCGTGTCACTTCTTTCCTATGCCTTTTCTACTTTCTGGGCTAATGGATTAATTAGCCTTGTAGCTCTCTCCAGATCATCCCCAATCTATCAATTAAGCACAATTATCATAGTCAGGTTTACTCCTATGCAACTAATTGGTGATAAAGTGATCAGAGTGCTGGTACAGCTGCTGTTGCCCAACACTCTGTCACAACTAGGTAAAGCAAGTTGCTTACAGTGTTGGGATTGCGTTGAATGAGGTTAACAATGAGAATGGGTACAGAATGTGAAGGGGGATATTTGCTTTTGCTTCCTTTCTTTTTACTTCAGTTGGTCCAGATAGTCACCACTGAATTTTATCATCACTCATGTGAATTCTAAAACCACTTATCAGCTTTCCAGTATCCAGTGTTGTATCTTTAAAAGTATGATAGGGTATAAAAACACCACACAAGACAAAAAGGGGTTAAAAAGCAGCTATAGGCTCAGGCAGCCCTGCCTTGCCACACCTGTAAACCATACCAGGCTTGAGGAGGAGGCTTAAAGGGAGAAGCCCAGACCAGAGGGCTCCATCCCAGGAAGATGGACAGACTTTTCATTTTCAGCTCCCAAACAGGAGCCCAGTCAAGGGCCAGGCTCCTTTAAGTTTCCTGTCAAGACAGAACATTAGTACAGATGGCTAAAGGACCCTTGAGGGATCGTGCTGCTCTTTATTTCTATTAATTTAGCTTTCTTTCCTTTGTCATGTTGGGAACTGGGACCAGGGGCTTGATCCCACAGTAGATCTCTGCTGAGAATGCAAGTCCCTTGAGGAGATGGTGGGCTGACTGAGGAAGTAGTCCAGGGAAGAAACAAGAGTTATGACAATACAGAACTTAACCACATGCTTCAGTGTCCCTGGGCTGGAACTTGAAGTAGGGAGAGGGACTGAATTTCCCTAATGCCTCACTGATCCCAGACGCAAGGCGCTAGAAGCATTATTGGGCCTGGACTTGGGCCACTGATGCAAGGGCAAGGAACTACTGAGTTAAACTCTGGTTTATCCCAAAAGGAGTGAGACTAAATGAGTCCTGGCCAGAAGGTCAAACCCAAGATGAAGCCAGTGGACCTGGACAGCTGGTTGGCAAGGCTATGGAGAGAGCACACCCAGTCACAAGTCAGTGCATCAACTGGTGAGTCATTTTGCCATGAAAAGCAATTGTTTGATTCATTTCTGAATTGTTTTAATGCTGCTTTTAAAATGGAGACAGAAGAGACAAGTGACGAAAAGCTTGGTCCGATAAAGTAGAGTTAGATTACAAGTGGCTTAAGAAAAAAAAAATTAGGAACAAAGCTGAATTATGCCAAAGATTTACTCATGTTACCCTTCTAAAATGCACAAACTACTTTTCTAATCTAGCTCATGTTGTTTGTAAACCTTATTTAAGAAGTATGAGTTGAAACAAATAAATGAAAAATAAATATATTAGTTTTTGCCTACTTAGCTCTCAACAGGTCCTGATCTTTCAGTACTGAGCCTTGCAGATAGATAACTCTTTGAGACCACATGGGAATTTGCAACACCCTTCTCACTTGAGCATCCATCTCAGTAGGACACAAAATAACCACATAATAGTCCTGTCAAAAATATAAAGGAGAGTAGAAATGGCATTTAGATTATTTACTGTTACCGTCTGTTGTCACTGGAGTATAGGTTAATAGAGAATCTGGAGGTGAAAAAGTATCTGTAATAACTTTTAAAATGGTTTCTTGGATAAACTATTTGAACATTGTACATTTCAGATTCTATAATAAAACTGGAGCTTTAAAAATTGTCACAACATTTTTTTCATAAGGTAGGCAGACTAATGGGTGGTGCTGGGGAGGAGCTGGTGGTCATGGTACATGTAGGGACCAATGGCATAGGGAAAGGTAGGAGAGAGGTCCTGTAGGCCAATTTAGCCTGCTAGGTAAGAGGTTCAAGTCTAGTACCTCCACGGTGGCATTCTCTAAAAGGCAGGCAGAACTGCAGAATATCAATACATGAATGGCATGATGGTGAGTGGAGGAGGGATTTAGGTTTATTAGGAACTGGGGAACCTTTGGGGAAAGGAGGAGCCTATACAGTAAGGATGGGCTCCACCCAGGGCCGGTGCAAGGATATTTTGCACCCTTGGCGAAACTTCCACCTTGCACCCCCCAGAGCATCGCTTATTATAAACTTTCAAAAATGAATACTGCATAATGTGGCATTGTTCATTAGAATTAATACACATTTGGCTTGAAAAATTATTAATTTCATTATTTAGTCTACATATTTAATGAAAATAAATGAATAACCTGACAGGGTGTGGGGCTGGCTGGTTTCGGGCAGGGCAGGGGATGTGGAGCTGGTTGGAGATGGTGTGCGGGGTTGGCTGGAGACAGGGGTGTGTGGAGCTGGCTGGCTTCAGGTACAGGGGTGTGACAGGGGCTGGCTGGAGACAGGGGGTGCGGGGCTGTCTGCGGGCAGGGCAGGAGGTGCAGCAGGGGCTGGCTGGAGACAGGAGGTGCGGGGCTGTCTGTGGGCAGGGTAGGGGGTGCAGCAGGGGCTGTCTGCGGGCAGGGCAGGGGGTGCAGCAGGGGCTGGCTGCAGGCAGAGCTGGGGGCGCAGGGTTGGTGCGGGTAGGGCAGGGAGTGCAGCAGGGGCTGGCTGCGGGCAGCACTCACCGGCGGCGCGGCTTGGGCCAGGTCTCTGCACTTCCTGCCGCCGGTGAGTGCAGGCCTGGCCCTGCTGCAGAGCTCAGGGGAGTGGGGGCAAGACGGGGCTGAGCAGGGGCAGGGGCCCTGGGGAAGAGCCAGAGCAGCAGGGAGCAGCGCAGCGCCCCCGGCGGCCAGAGGAGAAATGACATCGCTTCCCGGCCGGCCGGAGCTGATCAAAGCAGCAGCGCCCCCTCGCACAGGGGCGGGAAGCGGGTTACACATGTAGCCGGCGCCCGGTGAGCATCCCAGACATTTTGGGCACCACTTTTTGGTGCCCTCAAATCTTGGCGCCCTAAGCAGCCGCCTAGTTTGCCTAGTGGTTGCACTGGCCCTGGCTCCACCAAAACAAAACAGAACCGGATTGCTGATAGGGAACATTAAAAATATCATAGAGGACTTTTTAAACTAAGGGCTGGAGGAAAGCTGACAGATGCAGAGGAGCACACAGTTTGGACAGACACATCCTTTAGGGGAGGATTTTTTTTAAGGGGATACTCTATATCCTAGTAAAAAGGAGAGGCTAGAAGTTGATAAAGTACGGGTAGGAACTGAAGAAACAGTCAAAAAAGCATCCCATTATATCACATGAAGGCAGACAACTAAATATTGACAAATTCTATAAGTGTTTGTATACAAATGCTAGAAGTCTAAAAACTAAGATGGGTAAACTTGAGTGGCTGGTATTAAATGAGCATGTAGCTATAAAAAGCATAACAGAAACTTGGTGGAACAATGATAATCAGTCGGACACTGAATAGGTCACAATCATGGGGGAGTGACACTGTGAAAGAAGGCATAGTCATATATGGTAAAAACAAACAAACAGTACCATAGAATCTCTATGGATAGAAATTTCATGCTTGAATAATAATAATAGTATAGCAGTAGGAATATATTATTGACCACCTGACCAGGGAAGTGACTGTTAAATGCTTAGGGAGATTAGATAAGCAACAAAGGCAGAAAAAGCGATGACAATAGGGGATTTCAGCTATCCCCATATCAAATAGGAACATGTCACTTCATGATGGAATGCAGAGATAAAATTTCTAGACACTATTAATGACTGCTTCTTGAAGTAGCTAGTCCTAGAACCTACAAGAAGAGAGGCAATTCTTAATTTAGTCCTAAGTGGTGCACAGGATCTGGTTCAAGAGGTGAATCTAGCTGAACCTCTTAATAATAGCAACCATAATGTAATTAAAGTTAACAACCTTGGGGGGGTAGGGGAATATACCAAAGAAACCCACCACAGTAGCATTGAACGTCAAAAAGGGAAATGATACAAATATGAGGAAGCTAATTAAACAAAAAAGGAACAGTCACAAAAGTGATATGCCTGCAAGCTGCATGGAAATTTTTAAAAACACCACGCTAGAGCATAAAAGTATATGTATATCCCAAATAATAGTAATAAAAAAAGACCAAAAATGCTGCCCTGGCTAAACAATACAGTAAAAGAGATGGTTAGAGACAAAAAATAAATCCTTTAAAAATTGGAAGCCAAATCCTACTAAGGAAAATAGAAAGGAGCATTCACTCTGCCAGGCCAAGTGTAAAAGTATAATTAAGCAGGCCCAAAAAAGAATTTGAAGAGCAACTAGCAAAAGACAGAAATGAACAGCAATAATTTCTGTAGTACATCAAAAGCAGGAAGCCTGCCAAAAAATCAGTGGGGCCACTGGATGATTCAGGTGCTGAAGGAGCTCCTTAATGATGAATTCTTTGCATTGGTCTTTGCTGCAGAGAATGTGAGGGAGATTTCCACACCCAAGCCATTCTTTTTTGGTAACAAATATGAGGAACTGTCCCACACTGAGGTCTCAATACAGAAGGTTTTGGAACAAACTGTTAAATTTAACAGTCATAAATCACCAGGACCAGATAGTATACATCCAAGAATTCTAAAAGAACTCAAATATGAAATTTGCAGAATTTCTGTCTGTGGTATGTAACCTATCACTTAAATCAGCCTCTGTACCAGATGACTGGTGGATAACTAATGTGAAGCCAATTTTTTTTAAAAAGGCTCCAGAGGCGATCTTGGAAATTACAGGCCGGTAAACCTAACTTCAGTACCAGGCAAATGGATTGAAACTATTGTCAAGAATAGAATTATCAGACACCTAGATGAACACGATTTGTTGGAGAAGAGTCAACATGGCTTTTTTTAAAGGGAAATTGTGCTTCACCTAGTTATTAGAATCCTTTGAGGGGGTCAACAAGCATGTGGACTAGGGTGATCTAGTGGATATAGTGCACTTTGATTTTCAGAAAGCCTTTGACGAGGTCCCTCACCAAAGGCTCTTAAGCAAAGTCAGCAGTCATGGGATGAGGGAAGGTCCTCTCACCGATTAAAAGATAGGAAACAAAGGGTAGAAATAGTGGTCAGTTTTCATAGTGGAGAGAGGTAAATAGCAAGGTCCCCCAAGAATCTGTATGGGGATCTGTGCTGTTGAACATATGCATAAATGATCTGGAAAAAGGGATAAGCAGTGAGGTGGCTAAATTGGCAAATGATACAAAATTACTCAATATAGTTAAAACCAAAGCTGACTATGAAGAGTGACAAAGGAATCTCACAAAACAGGATGAGTGGGCAAGAAAATGGCAGATGAATTTCAATGTTGATAAGTGCAAAGTAATGCACATTGGAAAACATAATGCCAACTACACATCACGATGATTTGGTCTTAGTTAGCTGTTAACACTCAAGAAAGTGATCTTGGAGTCATTGTGGATAGTTCTCTGAAAACATCTGCTCAACGTGCAGCAGCAGTCAAAAAAGCTAACAATGTTAGGAAGCATTAGGAAAGGGATAGAAAATGACAGTAAATATCATAATGCCACTAAATAAATCTGGTACGCCCACACCTTGAATACTGTGTGCAGTTCTGGTTGTCCCATCTAAAGAAAATATATTAGAATTGAAAAAGTAGAGAATGGCAACAAAAATGATTAGGGATATGCAACAGTTTCTATACAAGGAGAGATTAAAAAGTTTGGAAAGGAGATGGCTGAGGGGAGATATGATAGAGGTCTATAAAATCATGAATGGTGTGGAGAAAATGAATAAGTGTTGTTTACCCCTGCATATAACACACAAAATAGGCATCACCGAATTAAATTAATTGGCAGCAGTGTGACAGGGTGCTGGGCAAAGGGTTGCTGATTCAGCCTTGTAACACCAGCTCCCATTTAGGGGAATAAATAAGAGCTGGCTGGATATAACCTGGCCCTAATTGAGGGAGCAGAGACAGATTTTGCCTAATTAGGCTGGGGCTGTACAAAAGCCTCAGGGGATGTAAGAAAGGGAAAAGGCAGGGAGTGGAAACAGGAAAGTAGCTCTTCCCTCCCTCCTGCAGACGGTGAAGGGCCAACTGTACTTAGTGAAATGATGATGGGAACAAGCCTGTGAATAAACTGCACCAGTGGTTACTAACCCCAGGGTCTCAGAGTGACAGAGGCAGGAGCCAAGGGGGACTCTGATACACGTGGGGGCCTGTCCAGGATCCCGTGCTAGAGCAAGTATTTGGCAGCCCGGAGATGCAGGAGACCCTGCAATGGCTGATCAAGCAGCAGGAGGAGGTGCAGAAGTCAATGCAGAGTTTTCAGCAAGCCCACCAGCTGGAGAGACAGGCCTTGCTCACCTAGCAGGCAGACAGCAGAAGAGCCTGCAGGACTTCATTTGGGAGCAGGCTGGCATCCAGCAGCAGCTCCTGCAGAAAGTGGTGAGTCCCACAGGAGGGGATGGCGTTCGGGTGCCGGGCTTAGGACTATGTAAAATGGGCCAGACAGATGACCCCGATGCCTTCGTAGGCAGCTTTGAGTGAGTAGCCGCGAGGGCTGGATATGACAGGGCAACCTGGGCCCTGTGACTGGCTCCCTACCTAGCCGGCAAATCCCAAACAGCCTATATGGCCTTAAGTGAAGAACAGACCAGGAATTATGAAGTGGCAAAGGCAGCCATCCTGGATCAGGTGGGGCTGTCTGTGGAGAAGTATTGCCAGAAGTTCTGGTTGGCGAGGTGGATGGGGGGTTTGCGGCCCCAGGTATTCACCCAAAAGTTAATGGACTGGGCCACCCGCTGGCTGAGGCCGGACGCCCAGACAGTGAGGGAGATTATAGAGGCACTCATCCTAGAGCAATTTTTACAGGGCCTCCCAGAGAAAATAAAGGAGGCACCAATCAAATATGGTCAAGGCGGCTGTAAAGCTTACGGAGGAGTACACGGAGGCAGACTTTCCCAGGAAGGAGGGACAACTGAGCAAGGAAGTGGATACTGGGAGAAGGCCCAGAGAACCTCTGCCCAGGAAAGGCCCAGAGAACAAATGGGAGGACTCGTTAGGGTCTCCCACAGGGTCCAGACCGGTTGTCTGCTGGCAGTGTGGACGACCGGGACACAAGAAGGGGGACTGCCCACCCGTTGATTGTGGATGGGCAGAGTTTTCTGTCGTTGGGCAAATGCTGGAGGGCAGGAGTGGAAGCTGTCCCCCATTCTAGTAATGGTGGGGAGGAAACCCCAATGAGTCCTGGTGGACTCTGCCTCGGCCTGCTCTCTGGTACAAAGGAAACTGGTGAGGCCGCACTGGTGGATTTCGGGTGTTAAAATGGACATAGAATGCGTCCACAGGGATAGGAGGCAAAACCTTATGGCCCAGGTGCCTCTTGATGTTCAGGGCTGGTTTAAGTGGTAACGGGTTGGGGTAGTAAATGGACCACCTTATATGGCGGTAGTGGGTACAGACTGAGACCCCTTCCCAGGAGGGAATGTGGGCAGAGGGAGAAAGCCCAAGATAAGGAAAAAGGGAGGTTCCCCGAGTAACGGGGTAGAGAACCCTGAGCAGAAAACCCCTAGCCAACAGAGCTTGAGAAGGAAGTTATGGGCGAGATGTCCACCCCAGGGTCCTCGACCAGAGAGCAAGGCCCGGCGGAGGCCTTTATTAGCGGACATCCCAGAGGAAGAGACCCAGGCCCCGTTGGATGAGCTTGGGGGACCAGAAGCCCATAGCCTCTGGGAGAGGGCTGGGACCAACCCTGAACCCCTGACAGAAAGGAAGGAGGGGAGAACAAGGGAACACCTAGAAGGCTGTGATTGGTGCGAGGCGCTGTGGTGGAGCTGTGGGGCCATCCACCCCACACACAATGTAGTTTCTGTGGTTGGCAGGGCTGCCCGGGGGGGGGGGGGGGGGGCAAGTGGGGCAACTTTCCCCAGGCTCCGGGCCCTGCAGGGTCCCCCACGAGAATGTCAGAGGCTCCTCCCCGACCCCCGCCTTTGCCTTCCCCCATCCCCCGGTGCCTCAGCGCACCACGTCCAGGAATGGCGCTGGACAGCACTGCAGCCGCGTGGCCTGAGCTCCTCCCATTCAGAGCCGCGTGGTAAAGGGGCGGAGCTCCAAGCTCTGGCCCAAGTGGCAGGAGCTCAGGTGCTGTGGAGCCACGCCGCTGCAGCACTGTCCAGGGCCACTCCTGGAGGCAGCGCGCTGAGATTCCGGAGAGGGGGGAGGCGGGAGTAAGCAGCATGGTAAGCCCTTCTGAGCCAGACACCCCCCTGACACTCCCACCCACAGCCCTGACTCCCAGCTCCGAGCCCAGCCCCTCTGAGCCTGACACCCC